CTACTCGGCAGGTTGGAATTGTATTAGTCTAGTTCCTTTTGAAATATGAATTAAGTAAACATATTTAGAACTCAGCTTATTAATTAAACTGAAAGGTAAATGTTATTCCTAGTAAGTAGAAGTAGTTGTGTTTTTTTTCATATTATACCCAATTTAGATAGATTTTCTGTATACAAAATAGCAAATCTCAGTATTTGGAGAGGCAACATATTCTTTATTCTTGCATTTTTTTTTTAAGTTAAACTAGCATAATGAATCACAACGATATAAAAAATCTTATCCGCCCAATCTTCGCTAATAAAACGTATCTTTCTACCACGGTAATTATAAAGAATAATTCAAACTAAAATTTAGCTCTATGTTATCATTGCACCTACTTAAATTGATAAGTTAATTCAAACAAAAACATAAAACAATTTGCTTATTGATATGAACTGTCCGCTCTTAACATTTTACCTCTATCCAGCAGGTGGCTCAGTTTGCTTCCGTTGTTCACGTATATTAATTCAGAAATTCGTACTTTTAAATATTCATGCTTACGACCGCTCACTCGCTTGATATTTCATTTCTTTGTTGCCAGCGCGAAAAATAAAATAAGAAAGGGCATTTTTTGTCACCTTGTAAGAAAAATATATACATAAAAAAGAAAATTATCCAATTTTCGTGAGAAGGCTGAAGGGCATCTAATCGACAACTGAAGACTTTAAATCTTATTAATTTTTTTATCATAAAACTAAATTTTTTGTAACAGGTATTTTTTTTATATCCGTCGCTGAACAGCTGACCCAAGACTATTAATGTTCAACTCTGTAGTCTTGCAATTTTGAACCCAATCCAGAAGACAAGGGAACTCCTGGATCAAATATGGGAGAAATTTGCGATGCTTTTCGATGGAACTAACCCACATTTATGTTACATGGAGAGAAAGACCACGAGAACCCCCCATGTTTAGCCTGACGGCAAGGGAACTCTAACACATGATCAGTGTATAACTGAGGATATTTCACGTCAGCTCTGTGGTCGGTGCAAGACGGATGCGGATTTCGTATCAACCAATCATCGCTTGGATTCGAACCCGGTTCACATCATTGAAAGGCTGACGCTTTATCCCCTTAGCCATCACGGCTCAATGATTTGACAAAGTTTGATGCAAGCTAAGTATTTTATGATTTTCAGCAAAAAAAAATTTATTTATTGTTTTTGGACGTTAATGAATTAAAAAGAAAAGAATATTGCCTTTGAATAATATTTTCAACAAAAAAAAGAAGAAATTAATGAAATCCCTTTACACAAATGGGTGAGGCTGAAGTTCGATCGATTTGATCAGTGCTTCTCCCAAAAAAAGATTTTTTTTTAGACCAACAATGTTCCTGCGCTCAATCCGTTAATACTACAGAAATGGACATCCTAATTGGTTTTAAGCTTGACCTCAGCAAATTTATAACTAAAAACAGTAAGTAATCAGCATCTGCCTAAAGGCCTGTTTAGACAATCCAAGTTCCTGAACGAAGATTGATTGAAATTGATGGAAACTTGTTTTGATTTGAGCTTGGATCGTGTAAACGATCATCCAAGTACTTGGTCCAAGTCCTTGGACGATAGTACAGCATGTTCTACTTTCCATCCAAGTTTTTCATCCCTTGACCAACCAGCTTCTTAAGTTCTATGACGTCAACAAGCAGACATCGGATTATGTCATTGTGTTGTCCGTTTTCATATATTATAGTCCAAATAAATTAATCTGTTATGGTATGTTTGCGTTATTATGATTGTATTTGAATTTATTCAGTAATTTTAAAGTCACGTTAGTATGATTTTATAAAGGTGAATATGAACAATGCGCATGAGCAAGTTTTTCTTTCAATCAATGACATTCAAGAACTTGGATAGTATTGACGAATCATCCAATTTCTTGGAGAGAGAAATTCCTCCAATTTCTCAGATTCAAGAACTTAGACCGTATTAACAGGCCTTAATTCTTTTCATTCATTGCTTTCAAAATGTAATAAGCTTATTTTGGTTAGTTGGTAGAAATCAAAATGGACTAAAAAAAAATAATGAATCGAAATGGATGGTTGACAGTATAAAGGTAAGAACAGACTTATCCCATTTTTTTCGTTTCCCCATTATCCCATTCGACATACCACCATCCACTCCGGCCACCAACATTGAATTTTTTTGCTTTTCGCACTTGTCAAGAGCCAGTTGAAGACGAGTTTAACATGAAAAAGTTTTACGAGTTGAAAATGTAAAAATATTTAAATATGGACATTTTTTGAATACCAGATGTACGTGCTGCATGTATATTATTCAATATTGGCACCACGAGTATTTTTAAAAAGTCTCCCAAATAGGGGAGCCTTGTCCCATTTTTTCAAACAATGTGAAATGAATACAAATTTTTTTCAAACAGGTTTTAATTGCATGAAACAATTACAACAATATTATTTACAAAATATGCAAGACTATATTTACAATAATTACAAATGACTTACAACGCATGATAGATAGGTTTCATCAGGAAATGAAGAAATTGGGAGGTACCACCAGTAACTGCAATCCACCTGTGACAGTCCTCACGTGAACGCATCTTCCCAAGGGTTTCAAAGGTTTAATTAATATCACAATTTTAATTTCTTTTGCTGGGTGATAGTTTATCAAATTGTCTATGACGTCTCGCCATCTTGCTTTGGTGTTGGTGCCAATCAGAATCATAAGGGCCACCTTAATCTGAAACAATTTTATTTTATTCTATAACCGTCGTTGAGCCGCCGACCCAATTTCATGGGCTTACGACTACTAATGTTCAAATCGGTAGCCTTGTAATTTTGAACCCAATCCAGAAGACAATGGAACTCCTGGCTCAAGTATGGGAGAAATTCGCGGACTTTTTAATGGAACTAACCCGCATTCGAGCTACATGGCGAGAAAGACCACGAGAACCTCCCACGGTTAGCCTGATGGCAAGGGGACTCTAACCCATGATTCGTCTACGGGGATATTTCTCATCAACACCGTGGTCGGTACAAGCCGGATGAGGAATTTGTAACAACTGGGATTCGAACCCGGTTCGCCTCATTGGAAGGCGAGCGCTCTATACTCTGAGCCATCGGGGCTTAATCTAAAACAATTGTTCCAACAATACTTGTGGTCAAATAGGTCCATCCATTAAATGGTAAATGTAACCATTCGTGATGGTGTTTCCATCAGATCTTTGACACACGACAGCAAATGAATGGCTGTGTGTCGATGAAAAGGTTTTTTTTCGGCCTGGAAATGCATGGCCACTCCATAGAGTCTCTTTAGCTTGGCCGTCATGTCACATCACTTGAAACTTTGTTAAAGTGTCCATGATCACTCTAAACTTGAATATTTACTGGAGTTGTCTCTGCAAGGCCTGCCGGAGTTATCACTCGTGCTTGGAGTAGGTTTGCTGTATTCATTGGAAGCAGAATTGCTAGGTTCCTTTGGAACAATTTTGCTGCATTCCTTTGAAAGTTTACCAGATTCCTTGAGAGCAGATTTACTGGATGAAACATGTTTACTGGATAAAGCATATTTGACGGAGCCGAATTCCTTTGAAGCAGATTTACTGGATTGCTTTAAATGTTTGCAGAATTCTTTGGAACAGAAGGACTGGAATCGCTTGGACATACCACTTTGGAATTCTTGAAACGTTTGGCGTTTGACTAGAGTGTCTGAACCCAATTGTCGTTTCAGTCAGCTCCTCAGTGATTCGCACTTTGTATCTTTGAATCGTTTTTTCTCTTCTCGTTGAGTCTTTCTCATTGTGGTTCATTTTTATCCTGAGTCAGTTCCTTTGTCCTGTGTTGTGGGAGCATTTCTGGCGTCTGATTGCTGCAAAGCTGTTGAAAATGTATGACCCAATACTCTGCCAGGGCAAAGCTTCATACGTACTCGTCTTGTCACCGGTGAGCAAGTTTTGCCAAGACCTTACGATGCTCTTACCAAGAAATGCAAGCTCGCCCGCACCGACGCATTGACTTCATTCTCCAACATGAAGAATCCAGATTTGGTTCAACGATTATTGTTTCTGCTCAAAGAAGCTTGATATAAAGTTTTAAACACACAAGCTGTTAACTCTACATTTTACAAATATTGTGTGTAGCTACAACCTGCTGGTTTGATCAATTTTTGATTCCGTTTATTCATCAAGTCTAAAACATTCGATAAAAGTTTTTGATCAGTCATGGTTTGAATAATGACCCTGAAACAACTAACGTTGTGATGGATTTGCAACCTGGCCCTTCTCAAGGCTGTCAACCTTGGACATCCAATGAATTTCAGCCTGGTCCATCCCTCAAATGCGTTTCAAACTGAAATTATGCGTGACAAGCCCAGCCTTTGTGGCACCTCAAAAGTTGTGGTTAAAACTGAGCCTGTTGAGATGGAAGATTGTCAACCTGGTCCATCCAATGCATTTCAACCAAATATTATGCGTGGGGAGCCCAACCTTGGATTCTCACAAGCTAGGTCATCCAATACACTTCATGCCGAAATGAACGTTTCTGAAATGCCCAACGGTGTAGTAACCATTGACTTGACTAGTGACTCATTTATTATGATAAGTCAGATGTACAAAGAGTGCCATGAAATGGAATGGGGAAAACAACAATTGGAGGAATTGGTGATCGAAATAGGCTACAGATGGAGTAGAGCATAACCTTCTACTTATGCAACACTTCGCATACTACCACCATTAGCGTGTGAAGAGTCATGGAATAAGGAAGTACGTTAGTTTCTGTCTTGATTTTCATATAGATTAAAAAAATTAAGTTGGGAAACTATATGAAACTGAAAATTACATTAAACATAGTTCTAAAAGGAAGCGTCAAGGAAATTTTAAAAAATATTTTTATTAATTAAAAACGAAAATTATTAGGAAAAAGAAAAATATCGTGCTATTCCTATACAACTGAAGAAAGAAGAAGAAGGGAGGGAGAAGGGTCAAAGGCGTGGAACCAGATGAGAGAAGTGCGCGTGATGAGTACAAACTACGTCATAAGTGAAAAGCTCTACTTTTTTGTCATATGCCAGCTGCAAGCGCAAACAAACCTGAGCTAAATAAAAATTCCCACATACTATAACCAATCCCTCAAAAATACCAACATTGCAAAGAAGCAGGGACTAATATAGTACTTTATATCTATGCAATGAAGTTTTGAATTTCTAGACTGTTTAAAGTGAAGTTCATTCTTACATTTTAGAGCCAATAGAATTATGGACTCTGGCAGTTCGCATAAACGACAAAAAACTGGATCCGAAAGGGACTTAGATTGCTCTAATGCTTCAAGAGGAGTTTGGCTCGTAAAAGTAACAATTTTTTAATAGCTTTTTCTTTTTTTTAAGTAACAAAAGATGGAGCATTTCGAACTGGGTGGGTGAAATAAAATTATTTCCTATTCCGTCATTCACTTCCATGTGGAAATTTTATTGAGTAGTAAAATTTCAATTTCCGTCTCTTAATTTTTTATTTAACCTAGAATTGTTTTCAAAGATGTATAAAGAGTTTCAATCAATTCTATATATTCCCCCTATTTATTTTTATTTGTTTATGTCTAAAAATTTTATTTATTGCCAAATAAAACTGTTAATAGTACTTAGTGTTAAAAAAAATTTTAACTTTTTCTTTTATATTATGTGTCTCTCAATATGAACAACATGAAAACATTTTTGTTAATAATTTGTTATGATTGATTTTAAGCTTTGTGTCTTCTATATCGTAGAAGGTAAACTGTTCCTATTTATTTCAAATGAGCTTTTAAATGTTTATATCTCAACAGAATGTAAGAAACACCTGCATAGCTGTCAACTTGTTAAAAACAAAAATAGGAACACAAAGCATGATAAGCCAATCAAGGATAATTATGAAAAACCCTGAAAATTGATGTGCGAAAAATTTATATAACATCCTACATGTTTCATGTTTAACATTATGTTTTGAACTAACATTTATAATTACATTACTTACTAATAAAGACACCTAAATAATTCCTTATTCAAGGAAAATATATTGTATTCTAAAATTGTGTAAATATGAATCTCTATATTAAATTTTAAAATTGCATGAATTTGAGTCGAGATATTGGATTTTTAAATCACACGAGTATGAATCTTGATAATAGATTTTTAAAGTGAATAAATTTAAATCAAGATATTGTATTATAAAATCACATAAGTATGAATCTCGACATTTGATTTTTTAATTGCATGAATATTAATTGAGATATTGAATTTTAAAATCACATGATTATGAATCTCGATATTATTGGCTTGGTTTTTCAGAGAGGTACCTATTTTGTGAAAATTGAGACATAATTTGTCAAAATTAAGAATTATATTAAAAATTCAGCATAAAAATATGGATTCATCATTTTTTATGGAAAACAAAAATAAAATTTTAAGAAAGTATTTTGTGAAATTTTCCTTAAGTTGAATTTGTGAAGGTACCGCTACATGGTAGTAAATTTGGCCTTGACAGAACACTGATTGGATATTTAAATTGCATGAATTTGAATCGAGATATTGAATTTTAATATCACATGATTATGAATCTCGCAACTGGATTTTTAAATTGCATGGATTTGAATCTAGTAATTGGATTTTAAAACTGCATGAATATGAATGGCCATATTAGATTTTAAAATCATTTTTAATATGAATCGCAATGTTGGATTTTAAAAATTCTAATTTCGATGTTGAATTTTTAAAACGCCTTAATACGAATCGTAATGCTCAGTTTTTATATCGTGCATAATTACAAAAATTGATGATTGATTATAATTGTTAAGTACTACAAATTGCAATATTAAATTTCAAAAACATTTGAATATGAATGACTCTATATATTTATTTTATGGTGTCATTTCTTTTGTACTTTATGTGAGGAAGAGAGTTAGTGTTTGTGTGAAATATCTGTTCATATTTTTTATAAATTTTGCAATTTTGTGAAGAAAAGTTTAAAAACTCCAGTTTTCTGTCTATGCTATTTGTGAGAGGTTTAAAAATCTGTGACAAATCTACTTATCTTCTGCATCTGAAATTACTTTAGGATCTGGTTCTTTCTGCTGATTGAGTAAGGTTATGTTTTATAGTACAAATATCATGTGTTTTCAAGGAGTTGTAATTTTAAAGTTACGAATTCAAAACTTCGTTAAATCCTATTTTCAAAAGATTTTTGAAGAGACCGTTTTTTAAATAGAAAATATTTTAAAACTCTGAAACTAAATTTTTTGTTCCATTTTTATGAATACAGTGAAACCTCCTGATGTGGATACTCCTGCAAAATGCACGCCTCTCATTACAGACGTCTTTTTAATTCCCCATAAATATTTTATGAATAAACCATTATGTACAAAGCGGACACTTGCGTAACTGGACACGGACAGTCATTTTTGCCCTGAAACGTTTTTTTTCTGTCTCTTCAAACAGGACACTACTTTTTTTTAAAATTTGAACGCATAAACTGTTTCTGCTTTAAGTGAAGCAAATATTCAACTTTTCACCAATTTTTAAAACTGGTAATAACTGAAACTATCATTAAGCTATTTCACTACTAAAAAACCAATCTTTCTCCTGCCACCTTGCCTTATCTTTGCAAAGAAAGGAGATAAAATAATACATGCTCTTATGAAATAATTTGGACATCGGCATCTTTTGATCTTTTCAACTGAATGACACAGGTTATGAGACTCTTCAAGTTGAAATGAAGTCTTAAATGCTCTCAATGCTTCTTCCCCACTGAAAATTTCTTTCATTTTCTTATCAATTTGAAGACTGTATTTAACACAGCTGGGGTAAAGAAAAAAGAGTGAACGGATTTATAATCTTTGAAGTGTTCATATAAATGAAACATTAATTCAGACTCTTGATAGATGATCAATTGTGAATAATCAACTCCAGAGGTATGCATTGCTTTTTTCTCCTGTGAATCCTGGGAGGTTTACTTTCAAGGAGTTATTAGCCACATTTCTTATCTAGTGATAGGTAAGTGTTAGTTAGTGTTAGTATAAACCTAATAATTGAAACTAACTGAGGCTAAAAGCTCTTATTCAGTATCATATGAGTAAGTTGAATATCTGTGTTAATAGAAAAATTATAGTCATTTTTTTTTGTATGGCTACATCTAGAATTATGTATTTATATTAAACTTTTTTCATATTCTTTTTTTATGTTTCTTCTTTCATATTTTTATATGTTTCTTCTTTCATATTCTTTTTGTATGTTTCTTCTTTCATATTCTTTTTGTTGTTAAACTTAGTTATTAAGGTACCCTTCCCCATAAAATACAATTTTTCCGGTCCTAAGAATGTCTGCTTAACCGTGGTTTCACTGAATATTGTTCTATTCGGTGAAGGGACTGTTAATAGACCCAAATATCTCTTAAAATGACCCCTGGGAAATCACTTGATGTGAAAGTTGCAAGCGATTTCCTGTATTTTTTAGGTTGTGTTCAATGTGTTGCCAATCATGTTTCTCTATGAACTTTTATTGTTTATTATTCGTCATTGAATGTTTTTGTTTTTCAGGTGCCGAAATATATATCATCATTATGGGAAAAGTCTGCACCTTTGAGTGAAGCTGGGCGCCTGAAGATTACAAGGTTTCATTTTTTACTGGATTATAGTTTATTTTATTTTGCCTTGTGCTTGTAATGATGTTGACTAACTACAAAAAATATGCGAAGAGTGGATTTAAGTATGTTAAATACCACACTGACATGGAAGAAAGGTTTCTTTATTATGAAGAACGGAATTAGTAAATGTGCACATAAATATCATATATGTGCATATTAATTACATTACTGAGCAGAATAATTAAGATGAAAGTGATTACAAATGAGATAAATATGATTATTAACAATAAAGATAAATTTTAAAAAAATATCTGCAATACAATTGTAAAACTCATGGTTCAGTATAAAGTAATCTAGTTCTAATTCTTTAAATTTCACTTTTCCATTTGTTTTTCAAAACATAAACTAATAAGTTTTAGTACTTAAATATGTATACAACTATTTCTAATAAAATTGATGTATAGTTAAAGCTACAATATTAGATTATTATTTATTAAATCTGTACAAATTTTATTTTATAACCATTGTTAAACAGCAGACCCAATTTTTTGGGTTTACGACTAATATTCAACTACACAGCCTTGTAATTTTGAATCCAATCCAGAAAACAAGGAAACTCCTGGATCAAGTATTGGGAGAAATTTGCCTTCGTGTAGCATTTTTTATTTTATTTTTATTGAACTAATCTGCATTTTAGAGGAAAACTGTGAAAACCTTGCATGATTAGCCAGGTGGCAAGGGGGCTCTAAACCATGATCCGTCTACCACTGAGGATATTTTTGCGTCAGCACTGTAATTGGTGCAGAATTCGCATCGACCAACCATCACTGGAATTCAAACTCTGTTCCCCTCATTGGAAGATGAACGCTCTATCGCCTGAGCCATTTATAAAAGACCTTAAACAAAAAATTTCTTTGCCAAACCTTCGACCTAATACTAAACCAAACATTCAGCTAACCGATTATTCATTACATCCTTAATTAGAACAGATATTTTCTTTTTAAGCCGTTTTGTCTTACTCATATTATGTTTTGTAGAAATGGAGGAAAAACAGATATCTCATTTTCTCTATCAGATGATATGTTGAAATCTGCTGATGGGAAAACAACAAATAATGATATTCCTAAAGAGCATCGCTTCGTGATTTCTAATATTTCGCATCAAACTCTTGCAGTTTTTGGTAAGACTTATTTCTTTTTAATTTCAAATTTATTTGCTTAATAATTGTCAATTTTAAAAATGATATGTCAATAGGAAAATTTTTCTCTTATCTTATCTTATGCACTATAACTTGTCAAATGCACCAACAATCCTAGAGAGGATATGAAAAACAAGTTATTACATATCCCAGGGGACTTGCAATTCTCAAGCACAAAAATAAATTATGTATAAGCAAAATTTCTACCAAAATTTAAGTATATAATACATTTTTTTTCTTACTAGCTGAAGGAGAAAATTACAACACTTCCTAATATCATATTGCATCATTGCCTTTTATATGCAGTGAATTCAAACTAAATGCCTTGATTGTTCAAATAAAACAAATTTATTGCTTTGAAATTCTTTGACTATTAATAGATAGAATAATTAATGTACAGTGCGCAAAATAAAACTGGACCTCCCTCCTCAATAACTTTTGATCTAATTATCTGATCTTCACGTTCTAAAACTCAATCTTATTGGCTTGAGGAGGTGACCACAAATATGCTAATTAATTAATGCTGATGATATTTGAAGTTACAAAATCAGACACAAAAACTCACTTTCTCTGAACAAACGTTCCTTTTTTTTTCAATGGATTCAAATTTTTGACCACCAAAATATACGGAGCTTGGTTGCAATCTGGGAAATATGGTCCCAAAAGTCTGGTCATGAGAGCAGTATAAAGTTTGAACCCTTTAATATTAATTTTACTTTTTGTATATTTCACCATATTTCCAGAACTCTTTGACAAATTGAAAATTTTTTACCACAATTTTAAAATTCGCTTATCTAAAGATAATTTCATGCAAAATATAACTTTTAGTAAATATTTATTATTTTTTGTTGTTTCCTTTAATAATAGTAAAAAAAATTGAGTTGTAAGGTATATAAATTTTTACATAATTTCACTATCAAAACAATTTTTCAGTTCAATTTTTTTAAACCAAATACTGTTCTTATATCACCTAGAATTAGATCATGCATAGAGGGCATGTATAATTTTTGAGAGACAAAAATGAATGTGTTTGAGGGGAAGGAAGCATGTCCATTTATTAATATATTGGTTCTTTCATAATGCTTTTTCAGGGGGGGGGCAGTTTTAAGGTACCTTAGTAGAAGACTCACACTAACCTTCAAAATTGACAGAATTCAAGAAATTCAGTTCTACTGGTCATCTGCTTATAGGAATTAAGTAAAACCCTAAGAAAAGAAGTATCAGAAATATTTTTTGAACTAGAATCCATAACGAAAACTATTTCCTAAAATCTTGAAGAATTTAATTAATTTGTATAATATTTCAATGTGTAATAAGTAACTAAATTTATTGAAAGCAGTGACATTTTTGTAAAATTCCTGATTGTACTAAAAATTAAACAGATCTGTAATAAACAGGATTTAAAAAATCCCCCTCCCCACCTATGTTTTTCATCAAAAACCTGGGTTTTTGATGAAAACCTCAAATTTTTTCTAAAATATTCTTCCTGTGTACTAAATAAGAATGCATGATTTGCTTCTAACAAGAGAGTTAAATATTTAGCTGTTTATAATTTGTTTAGTTGCAATGTAAATTTTTTTTAAAGTTTTAGATTGTTACACTATTATTTTTGTTTCTTAAGAATAAGCAGATTGTTACATAATATTTAAATCTACTCAATTAAAAGATCTTTAGATATTAATAAAATCCTTATTCAGTTAACATTGTAACTTAATATACTGTTTTTTTTTTAAATTTTTATTCAATTTTTGGTTCCTTTGAAAATAGTTCATGTTTTACACCAGATTGTTTAGTAACATCATGTGAAGTTAATTCATAATAACAGGCTTGACTATAAATAATTTTGTGTAAAGCTCAATATAAAAGTAAATATAGCACATTTGTTATTTACTAATAATTTCAAAATTTTTAAGTTATATACTGTTTTCAATATGTTTTTCATAAAATATCTCAATATTTTTTTACAAAACGTTACCTGATAAAGTGATATTACAATATTATTTTATAATAAAAGAATACCACTTTCAGTTTTCAACTGTTAATTTGTGATTAAAAAAAAATTTCAAATCATAATAATAGTTAGTGTATTAGGAATGGTAGAGGATGATAAAGAAATATTACTAGTAAAAATCTATGAATGATTAAAATATAAATAATTTATCAGTATTTATTAATTAAGGAACCTTATCAACTTTCTGGCTATGGGAATATGTTGATATCTTTGAAAAATTGTTTTAGACCCTTTTGTTTTCATGTTTGCTAACTGATAAAAACCTAATAATAAGAACTGATAAAAACCTAATAATAAGAACTAATAAAAACAAACTAATAAAAACAAACTAATAAAAACTAATAAAAGAGAACTAATAAAAAACAAATTGGTTTGAAAATTATAAATCTTTTCAAATGTATTTCTATTCTATATAAATTTTCAAAAAAATATTTATTGCAATGAATTTAAAAAAATGTATTGAGTTAAGCCTTATTAGAAAAGTGTGGAATGATTTAAGGTGCTTAGATGCTAGTATAGCCTATTTTTACTCAAAATAAGACTTAATTTTACATGGCACAGTTAAGAAAACTATTCTCAAGCATAACTCTAATTCAACTTTTTAGTATTAATTATTTTAAGATATACCTTTATAAACAAAACATTTTATTAATAGAAAAGAAAGAATTTTTTTTAACGTAACTGAATATTTAACAAGATTGGCCCACAAATATATATGTAATGCAGATCTAGTAGCAAAATGTAAAAACTTGTTGTAATAAATTTTTCAATATCTTTGCCAAATTTCTTTATTTACTTTTTTTTTAATACATATGGAAAAAATTGCAAATCTTAATTTCTGGACATAATTTTACAATTCAATTTCAATGAAATCATTAAAAATTGGATATGGATTAGTTTCATAGATGATGTTAAACTTTAACGATCTGAAAATGTTTTTTTAAAAAAACCAACCCAGGTTTGCAAAAATTGCCTGGTACTTTGGCAAGCCCTGTTAATGAATGCAATCAGTTCTTACATTATGATAAAATTGGTTTTTTTTATTGATTTTTTTTAAGATATGTAAATAATTGGCACTGTTACTGGTAGTATATACATATATATAGATAGATATGATGATTAACAATCATTCTATTTTTAAAGTCCTTAATTTTTCAAAGAAGTCCTTAATTGTTTCAAAAAAAGGTTCTTAAAAGTGCTTAATTTTTGCTTTGTTAAAAGAGTGGGAACCCTGAAAGTTAACATAATAAAAAAAGCCATTTCAAATCCACTAATTTCCCTATATGAGAAATACTTAAAATATTATAGAACAGTTATCATAAAATTTATATTGTGTCGTAAAATCTACTGGATTTTTTCCTGTCCGTGTTGCCAGCTATGTATATATTATTTTGAAAACCTTTTCTGATTTAAAATGCCTATCTAGATAGACAACTTTTGCCCACTGTTTATAGACTGAATTACTTATAAATGCACTTTATGAAAGGTAGAAATATCTATGACATCAATGTATAAAAAACAAACTTAAAAGTTTTAACAAGTTTTTGCGGGAAGAAAATTAAATACAATAACGTTTGATATCCTTGATAAGCAAAATAAAGGGGGGAGGCATCAACAAAAGGCACCTTTTTAAGTGTGTGGTAGGATTTAAAAAAAGAAAAACTTCTATTTTCTTAGGAAAAATATTACTTAGCTGGTGGTTATTCACGCATTGCTTTATAAAAATAAATGGTTACAATTGTGAAAAGGAAACTATTTTTACTTTTTTGTATTAATATCAAAAATAAATAAAAACTTTCTTGCATTTAGACCTTTTCCATATAAGATTTCTCACTTGAAAAACAGAAAGACGCATTTCCCTGAAGAAAAAAAATATTTTAATGGTGGAAAGCTAGTGCTTTTTAACTTGTAATAAACATACAATTTTCATTTCTTTGATATTAGCATTTTTAACATGTTGACTTTGAAATTTGGTGAAATAACTGACTTCCTGTAATATGTCACACTTGTTGTATTAAACTTTTACTGTATGTTGTGCATGTATTTTCTTATATTTTTCCTTTGATCTTGTATATATATATTATATGTATTTATTCATATATATTATATATATATTTATTTATATATATTTATAGCTATACATACATAATATTATTCGTGTATTTTTCTTTTGTTGTATAAGCTGATATAGTCGGTCATTTTACAACCTATTTGTTAAATCATTATTTTTCTGCCCAACTATTGTTTGATTTCAGGTTGTAGTAACATAAAGAGTTCTCTTGTTGGAAAATTTTGCCGTTTACTGGAAAATTCAATTAATTAGTATCATGAACTGAAACTCATGTGAAGTGAATCTTTTGAGAAAAAAAAACTTATTTTATATAATGTATTTAGTTTGTGATAGTTGCACCATGTTATTTTGTTATTGTTATCATGAAAAAAAAATTTTTTTTCATGCTAGTCTGAATCAGTTTAATATCATTTACAACTATACAAAATTGCAAATTTAGAATATATTTTATTGAATATTTTAAAGAAAAATTTATATTCAGATACATTTAGAATGAATCAAAAAACAAAAATGCTGCATTAAATTTAAATTTGTTGTTTGAAACAATTTTAATATTTTCTTTACCCTTTATTAATTTTTAAAATTCTATACATGAGAAGAAGAAAAAATTATATATATATATATATATATATATATATTCGGCTAATTGCTTGTGGGATCATGGGCGCAGAAAATGTTATTCATGAGCTTGAGAAATATGAGTTCATAACGTTTCTCCTTTCACTTTCTTTAATTCTCCAATTTTTTTCTCTCTAAACAACTGTATTTTGTCATCGCTTTTTTGCATAGAAAAAATAATTCAAATAAAAATTTTCTTCGTAAAAGAATTTATTCATTGATCTCAGTTTTGCTTCGTATTTTTGGTTTTTTGAGTAGCTGATTATGTTTTAATTTTACTTGTTTCGCATACGCTAAATCATGTTTTTCGCTCCTATAATGTATTATTATAAGTTTTTACATTTAGATCTGAAATTTAGGATAAATTTTTTTTACTTTTCTTAAATATTCGTTCGGGAAAGGAAATATGCCCTTAGTTTAGTTTTAGTTTAAATGAATCTGCATTATCTTTTTTTACGCAAAGGTTTCTTTTCGCATAATTTCAGTATTTTTATTCAGACTTAAATGGTTACTATGATTTAGTGTAAACAATAATTATACTTTACTTCATTTTGATGGTGCTTAATATTTGTAACTAATGACGGCGGCATTTTACTTTTCACTATCAACACGTATTAGTATTTGTAAAGTTGAAATGGAAGTTATTTTATTTAGTGTTGTTATTCTTTGAGTATTTTCGAATTTCGTTGTAGCCACAATGAGCGCTACAAACGTAATATATTTTAAATTTTTTATTTTGAGACAAATAAAAAAAAAATCTTATAATAATTAATTAAAATCTTTGCTTATCCTATTTTTCATTAAAAAANGAAAATACAACAAAAACAAGAAAGGATTTAAGAAGGGAAGAAAAAAAATTTGGAAGAATAAGAAAAATATTTACAAAATAATTGAAATAAGAAAATATAATAATGAAAAGATATAGTCTTTAAATTAGCTCACATAATTATCCACAAAAATAGTGCTTTCTAATATTGTATTAATATCATCCACATTTTATTAAAAGTAAATAAAATAATAAGAGTAATATAAGAAAATTCAGAAATATTTCCATGCTTTTAACATTTCATGTTTATATGTCTTTGCACCTGTAAAATGTAAATTATAGCCCTATGTTCACTCTGTTCATTATACCCATTTAACGACCAATTTTAGCAAATTTCGTGTCTCATGGTCTTGAAAATCTACCCAAGTTGTGTGCCAATCTTCGGTACATAAATTCAAACTCTGGGAAAATTTGACAGTTTTAATTTTTTAAACACAATGTTTAAGACATAGCATACTCACCTGCCCAAAATATGTGGTCACCAATGGCAACTGGAAGGTGGAAATTTTCAGGGTTCCCATTGGTCAGGGAAAACCTGGAATTGTCAGGGAATTTTATTTTAACTCCAAAAATCAGGGAAGGTTGAAATTTTTTTTACAGAAACCTGGAATATTCCTATATCATACCTGGGAAATAACCAGTCTTGAAATTGTCAGTAATAGTAATCAGTTATTGAGATTCGAGTTAAATAATTCCAGCACCCATTACAATTTATTGTTATTTAATTTATAAGTTTATGTTATTGTAATTTATAATTATTTGCTGTAAAAATTTCACATTTTAGTGTAACTGAAATGTTCCCTTCCTTATTTAAAAATATTTTTTTACACAGAAAATCTGATATTTCACATTGCAAATAAAAGAATCAAAGCTTTCTGATGAAAATACTGTCTTAATTTTCATTAAAATTTACCTGGAAAGTCAAGGAATTTTTTTTCTAAAATTGAGTGGGGGCCCTGAATTTTGCACCATGGTCTAGTGCAACTTGATGCCGAATTGCTATCTATAAATTTCTAAAAATAAGTTTTGTAGTCAGTAGTATTTCTCTCTAATGGTATTTTATCTACTGTTCATGTACTTCATGCTTTGTTTGATATTTCACTTGTCCTGTGTTTAAAAATAAGTAATTGATAAATTAAATACTTTTGCAGGAAAACTAGCTTTGGGTGGCCATGTTTTACAGAAGGGAGAGTGTCGTCCAATGGCTGACAACCAGTACATGGCTCTTAAGAGGTTAACAATAAATTTATCTTGTTTTTTTTTTCGTTTTCAGATTTTTTCATTAAAATAATATTTATATAATTTGAATTAAAAATTTAGTATTATACCATAAAATGATCTATGATTGATACTTACAATGTAAAAGTTCTGTCAGCTTGTCCATTATAAAATGAAGATTTTGTTTATATTTGCGTCTCTTATAACTAAGGAATTGTTTGTACTAGAACCCTGAAATTTAGACAATGTTTGCAAAGATAACTTTTAGTGCCTTATTTTAAAAATAGTTCAAAAATTATTTTTAGACCATACAGGTGGGATATTTGCAGGGCTAGGTATGAGTCACTTTTCTCACTTAATTTCACTATCTTAAAAAAAAAGTAACTTTTATTCACTGTTTTTAAGGCTTAGTCACTTATCTCACTTTTTTTTAAATTTTCTGTTCATTTCAATCAAAAGAAAGATTTTACATTTCTCTAAACCCATTATGTTACAATCCACTTTCTCTAGTAAAGAGGGACTCATCCAAATGGGTGGGGCACTGAAAAGGATTGAATATGTGAAGAAAAATCGACAATTTGCACTTAATTCTTCTTGAAATGCTAGTGAGCCATTCACTTTACCGAGCAATGAGTTTATTAATCATCTATCTTAACTTTCATTTTCTTATCTGCTGTGGAGCTGCAGAACATGAAATTTTGTGTATTTCTCCTTAAAATGAATTTCCTTTTTCTGTACTGTTCATACATACGTGTCTTAAATGTGCTTAATAGAACATAATTTTCCATCATAGAAATTAAGCACTCTTTGAAAGTTCTTATTTTAAATTTAAAGTGCTTAAAAGTTCTTACTTTTTCTTCAAAAGAAAAAAACTTAAATAAAATGTTTACTTTTATATTATATTTTTTATTAATATTTTTTTCTCTTTTCAAAAATCTGATCATTATTTAATAAGATGTTATTATGTCGTGCAAATTTGTGTAATCTCTTCTTGACACGTAATTTCACACTGTTGGATGTTTTTTTATTTTTTATTATTGCTTTAAAGGTCAGTAGTTATTAAGAATTTTTTCAGTCCTTTCTATGTGATTTTTCAAATTGTGCTTTTTTTATATACTATGTTATGAAGCATAAACTTTAAATTGGAAAATTACAAATTCATATGCTGTAAATTAACTTGGTTTTATAATCATTTTATCAGTCAAATGATTGACAGAGTTTTTTCACATGGTTTTTTAAATCTTCATATTTTAATTAAATAGCTATAACAATAAATGTTTCTAAACCAAACTTTTTCCCTTAGGTTGTATATTTTTAAGGTTTTTAAGATGTTGCCTGAATATTAATACTGTTTTTAATTAAGTCACTATCTATCACTTTTTAAAAAATTTTAGTCATTTTTTCAATACTTTTTCTACTATGACTTGCACTGAGCCCTGATGCTTCTCAAAACTCAGTAACTAAATCAACTGCTAAATTTCAATATTTTAAAATCAATGGCAATTGAAATAATAAAAAAACTAAATGTACTAAAAAGAAATGTTTGAATGTGGTAAATTTTGACTCTATTGAAGTGGCCGCAATTAGAAGCATCATTTTCAAAGTGCTTTAATTTTTTCTATTTTGAAACGATAAATGTTGTTTGTTGACTAAGTTTTAATCAAAATAAAGTACAAGTGATAATTAAATATATATANAGTAAGGTGACCATTTTCTGCAAGTTTTATTTAAAGAGTCCTTTTTAAAGACTCTTCATAAAGTGACCACCCCTATATAGTGACCATTTGACTTGGTCTCGAGGGTGGTCAATTTAGACAGGTTCCACTGTGTATGTATGTATATATAATTATTTTAACAGTGTTAGTGTATGCCTTTCAATTTTATGCCCAATTTTGTAATGTTGATTAATACCACTTTATTTTTTGCTAGCTGATCACCCATTCTTTGCATAAGTTAAAACCAAGTAAACAATCATTAAATTGGTATTACAAAATCATTCAAGAAGCTAAAAAAATATTCCCAGTCATTTTTGTATTAAGAAAAAGTCTTCATACTGAAGCTGAATGCATCAAATATTCAGTATCATGATAGTTTTGCTCACGGTCAACTTGTGATAATTTTAAATTTATTGCATTCAAGAAATTTACTCTTTTATTTACGCCTTTAAGAGGATTGATAAAAAACCTACCTATTGTCCCTCTATTCACATTATATTCTATAGTACTAAATTTTATATTTTTTGAAACAGCATTTATTACCACAATGCCAGTGCCAATTACCAAAAGGAATTGTTCATTATTTGTGTTGATAAATACTTGGGCAATTTTTTACACTACCCTTAAACAAATATGTTCCTTTATTCTCGTAATTTTGTTTTTCATTACGTAGATTTTGTTTGTTTGGTTTTTTTGTGCATTATTTAGCGTTGATTTTAATTTAGTTTCATTGAAGCTCCTTTCAGAAGCACAACTTTAAACAAAATAAATACATAGACAACTTTAGAATTAAACTGGCTTATTGATAGAATGAAAAATACTTAAACATTAAAGAATGCGCAATAAACTTTTTTTTTGTTTGTTAAATAAAGCTGTACACTAGTTAACATAACTAATATTAACTTTTAAATAATTTAAACTAAAAACTGTTGTTATTTAATTTTTAACAGTGCCCAAGGCTAAACCTGAAAAAAAAGTAGTTTTTCTCAGTAGTAGTTTTTCTCAAATGGTCTTCCTTAACTGACAAATAAATGAAATTTTTTGAATAATTTTTAGAGTCAGTTAAAATTTACTGTAGCATTTGCTCTCCAAGTTTCAGGATCCTTGCACAAACATTTCTAGTATTAAGACAAACTTCATACACTCAAACTCTTCATTTTAATATTAAGTTTTTTATCTTTCCATGCACAGAACGGAACTTTAGCTAGTTATATCAAAACTATTTTGTAAACGATCAGTTTATAATTTATAGTGAATTTGGTCTTCTTTTTTTTTGCATCAAAATAAACCTTTCTTTTTACATCTTAATTTCATCATGGTTGTACTTTTAATGCCTAACAGAACCTTATTTCAGCTCCCTTGTTTTAACATTCTTTTTGCAACCTTAACTTGTTAAAAATACATCAACAGCTTATGCTAACGTTTGATTAATGTTTTAATCTGAAAGGCCTATTTTTTCGATAAAATTAAATTATTTAATGTTACCGTATATCCTGGTGTATTCGACACCCTATTTCTGATTTATGTCGAAATTGTAAGTCAACCGCTGAAGAAGCTTACTAGAATATTTTTTTCTTTTTTTTTTTTTAATTAAAACACATTTTAAAAAAATTCTAAGCAATATCTGAAACTAGGATGAAGTTGAATCCATTATAGTGTGGTATCCATATGACGGCACTGTTGACTACATTACTAATCTGACACAGACGATGTTTTGGAATTTTTATGCTTGTAGCTTTATTGTATATTTAAAAAGTTTTAATTGTGTTATATTTTTTTAAATACTCTTGAAAAATCGTCATAACTTTTCTTAATTTTTTTTCTGAAATTAATTTAAAGTAGATGTTTTTAAAATAAAATCTTTATATGTAGAGAAAATATGAGAAGAGAAAATGCAAAATTAATTAATAATAATGCATGTTTAAAAAAAATTTTGAAAGGAGTAATTTGATGATCCATAGTTATTCATATTTATCTCATTGTTTATTATGTATTGATATTTCACAATCAACGAATGTCCTACTTAATTTCCAATTTTTAAATCGACTTATATAGCTGGATATACAGTAATTAATGAGATTCAAAGTATAAAATATATTTCTGTATTTATAAGAACCTAAGATAATAAATTTTTTTGTAATATAATATTGAGGCACAATAAGTCTTAAGGATTCATGCTATTGATGAAGTTCTCTTTCATTTGCATAATTCTGTGTTATTTATGTTTTCTCTTAACGAGTTTTCTTGTTTTTTTCAGGACATCTATACTAAAAGCCAGCCAGCCTGAGAGACAAGTTAAACAACTTCAAAAAGCTGTGCAGAGCTATAAACCAATATCTGATCATAAACATAATGTATGTTATTGCTATTAGTTGTTTTAGTTTAATTTTTTTTCTTGTTCGACTATATCTAATATTTTATTTTATTTTACGTTTTTAATTGTCTAGCTAAAAAGTTTTATTCCATAAATAAAATACATTTAGTTTAAAAATTTTCAAAAATATCTCATTTTCTTTTTATTGATATTTTATATTACAGTCTCAGTTTTNACACAATATAAAACAAATGATACATAAATAAATAATTCCAACTTGCAAGAAATCTCATAATATCTGAAAGCAAAAATCCTAATAACACTTTCAGTTGGCGAAAACCAGAATTTTTTTTAAGAAATAGAATAATTATTAATAGTGATATTTTCAAATAAAAACTAATACAAGTTCTATTACTCAGTATTTATTTTTCTTATAAAAACGAACAATAGCTCACTATTTTTCGTGTAATGGTAAATCAACGAAAATTAACAATTTAACGAGTTATGATAGTTGTATTAAATTTTTACTGGTCTCTATTGTCTACTACTAGAAAAAGATTGCTTTATTAACTTAAGAAGGAAAGGTTGCTTTATTAACTTAAGTTTTTTACAGTCAAAATTGAATTTCAATAAAAATAAAAACAGGACATGTCTGACTTAGCTGAAAATTTCAAAAAATAAATAAATAAAAGCTAAAGATAATTTTAAAATTAGGGATAGCTTTGAATTAAATTGGAACTATAAACAAATGTAATCACTTTGTTCATTATTAGAAGGAAATATAATAATAATTTATTAACTTTCAAGCAGTTGAATATTTAGAAATTCATTGATACTCAATAAAACTTAAAGATTAATAAAAAAAACATAATTGACATTTTAACTGCTTATCAGAATTTGACAAAGTGTTCTCAGTTCTATCTGATATTCAAAATTCCCTTTTGAGTAACACATCTTACAATTTATTGTAGGCACAAAATTCTTATCAGAATATTCCTTTTTTTTTTTATCAAATCCGTGTAATATATTCCTTGGCAAAGCATGATCATTAATTAACAATAAGGTTTTTGTTTCTTTCAACTGGTATTATCATATTTTTAATTCATTCAAATCAAAATATATTTTATTCATTTATAAGTTATCTGATTTTTTTTACCCAAAACTTTTCCAGGTAGGGGTGCACAACCTGCGTCCCGCGGACTGTCAATGTGCGACCCGCTAGAGCTTGTTAAAACTTTTTTTTTTAAATGAAAAGAAATTAGAATCTTTTTAATTTTTTTTCACAAAATATTGAATCTTAATTGTATGTACTATAATAGTTTTGTTTTAATTTTTGGTTTTTGCTGAAACCCTATAATTTTTCTTTAATTAAAATATTTAGTTCAAATTTATATTACTCATTAAAATAAGTATGCAGTTTTTTTTTGCACATTTATTCTTTGAGCACCTTTTATTTTTTGCACGTTTTATAGTTTTTTTTTTTGTTAGAGTTTATAGCATCTCTTTTCCTCAAAAGATATAGATAGATTGATAAATCAATTATTAATAAAAATGCAAAAAAATATATATATTAGTTTTTTTATTGAATGAATTTCGATACTTAAAAGTATTTAATTTTCAGAAAATATGTTACTAAGTTTACTGATGAAAATATTTGTTGTTCAGAACAGCAATTTTAAAATAAAAATTATTACATTTGTCACCAACATGACTAAATATGCATGTGGCCCTTTGTTAGTCAACCTACTGTCCAAGTGACCCTTCACTCAAAAAGGTTGTGCACTCCTAACCTAAGGTATTACCCAAAGCAATTGAGAAACTCCCACTATCAAAAAGTATTGTCCATGAAAGATATTGGGGCTGAATCAACCCTCATGTCTGGCAACTCAAAATTATTCCCGAAAATATAATTTGCTCTCAACTTGTAGCTTATGTCCTAATTTTCTATAAAATTTTTTGTTTAAATTTTTAGTAAATTATTTTTTTTTTAATGAAAATTGAATGATACTGAACATTAAGAAGTCTCTCAAAGTGAAACACTTAAAAAATTAAATAAATCATAATTACATAGAATAATCACTGCCTAATTGACAATCCATTTAACTTTGAAATAAAAACACCTCAATTAAGAATTACGTTGTTTGCAAAACAGAAATAAATGATTGCAAGAGTTGATAAATATTTAAAAAGAAAGGAGATAAATTGAAGCCCAATGAAAGTTAAAAGAATGAAATCAAATTAAAAGAACAAAACCAGAATTCTTAGTCCAAAGAACATTGCAAAGCTGGGGGTTAAGTGAATAACCTAACCTTTGACCTATCGAAACATAAATTTTGTTTGATAGGAGCTGAAACAGATCGAAGGGGTGAACGAGCTAATAGAAAATTTGTCACCATGAAGGAAAATCTTTTGGTATTACTCATTGTAAACAAAAAAAAACTGTCAAATTTTCTCTATTTTTATCCGCTGATGAAATTCTTTCTCTTCGTGATGACGTCGTTGCATTCAGGCATACTGGTATTTAAATTTAAAGCATGAAAATGTCCAAAAAAATTATAAATAACTACCAAAAAACAGGATCAGAAAATTATGTGGATTTATAACAGAATCTTTTCGAACTGAGTGGTTAAAAGTGATACCTCAAATTCAAAATTCGCGTGTCGTAGTAACATCGTATCAAAAACATCAACATTTGCAAAGCCATGTGGAAATGGGTAGAAAAACGATAACTAAACGACATAAATGTACAATGAAATTGTTGTGAAATGCGAACCGAGCTTGTCAAAAAGTGGTGAGATTATAAAATTTATTTTACTACTGCCATTGAACAGCCGACCCAATTCAGAGTTTGCGCACAACACTCGTAGATTTATAATGGAGTTGTCGCGAATTGAGCCCCTAAAAAAAGAAATAACTCAAGTACAAAGTTTAGGTATTATAATAAAGTTTAAATTTAAAAAATTGTCACGAAATGATAGAAAAATGAAGCATATTTATAACGGAATAGTGTTTAGTAGGAACATGGGAAGAATTTCATGTTTAGTAATAACATAATATTAAAAACATTGGAATTTGTAAAATCAATAAATAGCTGACGAAAATTGATTGGAAATAGACTAGAACCTATGATGGATCATCAATACATATATCTATCAGTAGATTGATTGTAAAGACACAGTTCCCAGTACAACACCAAAGTCAAGCATCACTAGCTACGGTCAGTAAAAGGGTGGGTAACCGCTTGTGTAGGGATCGAGGGTGTGAGCAGGGCTGGATTACCCATTAGGCCAGACTAGGCCATGGCCTGGGGCCCCCTTAAAATGGGTTTTTTTTAAATAAATTTTAAAAAATTAAGAAAAACAATGATTTTTCAAGTTTTTTCAAAATGTTATGATTATTTTTTAGTTCTAATTTACAAAATAAAGTAAAATTTAATTTATTATTATTATTTATTTTAATTTTAAATATGCTTTTTTAAATGAAAAGATGCATGAATACTTTTATATTTGAATAAATAAAAAATATACGAGAAAAAATTTAATCTAAGGACCCCAAAAATTTGAATGGCCTAGGGCCCCGCGTGCGCTTAATCCGGCCCTGGGTGTGCGGTATCTGTTCCCTCGTTAAACTGTTCTGCCGTAAAGTACTAGACTTCGCGCACAGATCGTCGGGCTACAAAAGCAGGGGAGCCATCCCCTCTGCAGAGGATCAATATTGTGATGGCATGTCTTCACATCACCCTCAGGGATGTTTCCCAGACTGTCTCCGATAGCCCATTATGCAGCTCTAGTGCAACGTTAAAGTACCTACCTGCCTACATGCATATATATATATATATTCTAAACGTTTAAACTACAAGAAACTGAATAAGGAAAACTCTTTTATACCTACATCCTACTTACCGTACAATAGTTCATTATTCAAGATATGTTTAATTTTGGAGGAAGTTTTGTCCCCCGAAGCCGCCCCATAACTACGCCACTGGCCCAATACTTCACTAGAACCAATTCAGCAACTGTGTTAAATTAACAAAATTATTAATGGCTCTTCAAACACAATATAAAACAAATGATACATAAATAAATAATTCCAACTTGCAAGAAATCTCATAATATCTGAAAGCAAAAATCCTAATAACACTTTCAGTTGGCGAAAACCAGAATTTTTTTTAAGAAATAGAATAATTATTAATAGTGATATTTTCAAATAAAAACTAATACAAGTTCTATTACTCAGTATTTATTTTTCTTATAAAAACGAACAATAGCTCACTATTTTTCGTGTAATGGTAAATCAACGAAAATTAACAATTTAACGAGTTATGATAGTTGTATTAAATTTTTACTGGTCTCTATTGTCTACTACTAGAAAAAGATTGCTTTATTAACTTAAGAAGGAAAGGTTGCTTTATTAACTTAAGTTTTTTACAGTCAAAATTGAATTTCAATAAAAATAAAAACAGGACATGTCTGACTTAGCTGAAAATTTCAAAAAATAAATAAATAAAAGCTAAAGATAATTTTAAAATTAGGGATAGCTTTGAATTAAATTGGAACTATAAACAAATGTAATCACTTTGTTCATTATTAGAAGGAAATATAATAATAATTTATTAACTTTCAAGCAGTTGAATATTTAGAAATTCATTGATACTCAATAAAACTTAAAGATTAATAAAAAAAACATAATTGACATTTTAACTGCTTATCAGAATTTGACAAAGTGTTCTCAGTTCTATCTGATATTCAAAATTCCCTTTTGAGTAACACATCTTACAATTTATTGTAGGCACAAAATTCTTATCAGAATATTCCTTTTTTTTTTTATCAAATCCGTGTAATATATTCCTTGGCAAAGCATGATCATTAATTAACAATAAGGTTTTTGTTTCTTTCAACTGGTATTATCATATTTTTAATTCATTCAAATCAAAATATATTTTATTCATTTATAAGTTATCTGATTTTTTTTACCCAAAACTTTTCCAGGTAGGGGTGCACAACCTGCGTCCCGCGGACTGTCAATGTGCGACCCGCTAGAGCTTGTTAAAACTTTTTTTTTTAAATGAAAAGAAATTAGAATCTTTTTAATTTTTTTTCACAAAATATTGAATCTTAATTGTATGTACTATAATAGTTTTGTTTTAATTTTTGGTTTTTGCTGAAACCCTATAATTTTTCTTTAATTAAAATATTTAGTTCAAATTTATATTACTCATTAAAATAAGTATGCAGTTTTTTTTTGCACATTTATTCTTTGAGCACCTTTTATTTTTTGCACGTTTTATAGTTTTTTTTTTGTTAGAGTTTATAGCATCTCTTTTCCTCAAAAGATATAGATAGATTGATAAATCAATTATTAATAAAAATGCAAAAAAATATATATATTAGTTTTTTTATTGAATGAATTTCGATACTTAAAAGTATTTAATTTTCAGAAAATATGTTACTAAGTTTACTGATGAAAATATTTGTTGTTCAGAACAGCAATTTTAAAATAAAAATTATTACATTTGTCACCAACATGACTAAATATGCATGTGGCCCTTTGTTAGTCAACCTACTGTCCAAGTGACCCTTCACTCAAAAAGGTTGTGCACTCCTAACCTAAGGTATTACCCAAAGCAATTGAGAAACTCCCACTATCAAAAAGTATTGTCCATGAAAGATATTGGGGCTGAATCAACCCTCATGTCTGGCAACTCAAAATTATTCCCGAAAATATAATTTGCTCTCAACTTGTAGCTTATGTCCTAATTTTCTATAAAATTTTTTGTTTAAATTTTTAGTAAATTATTTTTTTTTTAATGAAAATTGAATGATACTGAACATTAAGAAGTCTCTCAAAGTGAAACACTTAAAAAATTAAATAAATCATAATTACATAGAATAATCACTGCCTAATTGACAATCCATTTAACTTTGAAATAAAAACACCTCAATTAAGAATTACGTTGTTTGCAAAACAGAAATAAATGATTGCAAGAGTTGATAAATATTTAAAAAGAAAGGAGATAAATTGAAGCCCAATGAAAGTTAAAAGAATGAAATCAAATTAAAAGAACAAAACCAGAATTCTTAGTCCAAAGAACATTGCAAAGCTGGGGGTTAAGTGAATAACCTAACCTTTGACCTATCGAAACATAAATTTTGTTTGATAGGAGCTGAAACAGATCGAAGGGGTGAACGAGCTAATAGAAAATTTGTCACCATGAAGGAAAATCTTTTGGTATTACTCATTGTAAACAAAAAAAAACTGTCAAATTTTCTCTATTTTTATCCGCTGATGAAATTCTTTCTCTTCGTGATGACGTCGTTGCATTCAGGCATACTGGTATTTAAATTTAAAGCATGAAAATGTCCAAAAAAATTATAAATAACTACCAAAAAACAGGATCAGAAAATTATGTGGATTTATAACAGAATCTTTTCGAACTGAGTGGTTAAAAGTGATACCTCAAATTCAAAATTCGCGTGTCGTAGTAACATCGTATCAAAAACATCAACATTTGCAAAGCCATGTGGAAATGGGTAGAAAAACGATAACTAAACGACATAAATGTACAATGAAATTGTTGTGAAATGCGAACCGAGCTTGTCAAAAAGTGGTGAGATTATAAAATTTATTTTACTACTGCCATTGAACAGCCGACCCAATTCAGAGTTTGCGCACAACACTCGTAGATTTATAATGGAGTTGTCGCGAATTGAGCCCCTAAAAAAAGAAATAACTCAAGTACAAAGTTTAGGTATTATAATAAAGTTTAAATTTAAAAAATTGTCACGAAATGATAGAAAAATGAAGCATATTTATAACGGAATAGTGTTTAGTAGGAACATGGGAAGAATTTCATGTTTAGTAATAACATAATATTAAAAACATTGGAATTTGTAAAATCAATAAATAGCTGACGAAAATTGATTGGAAATAGACTAGAACCTATGATGGATCATCACAAATTAAAAACATTAAAAATTTATTACTCCAATTCGTGTTCTGTTGTAACATAATTAAGGTAATAGAATTTGAAAAAAATAGCCACCTAACCACCATCTATCTAGGTATGTTGTTATAATTTTTATGTGCACTATTGAGGGAAAACCATTTGATAGGCACATCTATGCAGAACTCTTTCAAAATAAAATAGACTCTTTGTACTGTGTGGCTATATGGAATTAATAAATTTATATGAGTAACAAAAATGAAAATTTTGTCAATTGGTTTGCTTTAATTTTTCTAAAACAAGATTAAAACTTCTTTTATTCCAACCATTTTTTTTTTCATTGGTGTAGTTTAGTATATCTTTATAAAATTGCGAAAATAAATCACTGAAACCAGCTAACAATTCAAAATTAGATGATGCTTTGTGCAAATGGTTCTCTTTTAAAAGAAGTGATGCTATTTGGGGCAGTAGTGCGAGTAAATCTGAAAATAAAACACCTTGATACTTGTTTGACAAAGAGACAATGATAAACTATTTATATTAAAAAATTTAGTTATAATTAAAGTTAAATTTTTATATAAATAGCATAGTACAGTCAAGCCCCGCTATAGTGAACTCCCAGATATAGTGAAAGAAATGTTTGCTCCTGTGCCTTGCTATACACATATAATATTATTTTTTGTGGATATAGTGAACCAAAAGAAGAGAAGAAATTGGATATTATTAACTTTTTTCTGTCTTCGACTGATTTTTTTCTTCATTTTTTGTCATTTTGAAATTTCTACATAAAATACAAAAACTGATTTTTCAAACAATCTATTAAGTGGAAGGTAGCCATAAGCAGTTTTCCTTGTTTGCTTCTTCTATCTCAGTTTCCCATCCCTAAATAAAGGCTATCCCATTGTACGCAAGACCAAGAGTAATAAAAAATAAAAGTTAACACGTTTTTTGTTACTACATATTGTTTAATCATTTTTGTATTTTTTTATGGGTCATTTATTTAAATAATGTGCAATAAAAGGGAGCAATTCGGAAAAAATTAGTTAAAATTGTTTGCAGTATAAGATATAGTGAACTACCGGTTATAGTGAACCGAAATTTCGGTCCCTTGAAGGTTCACTATTTGACTGTATTTAAAAACAGGATTTTCAAACTTTATTCATACAAATAGATTATAAAACAGGTTACCTCTGCAATCCATTAATTTTGCATTTTAATTTCCTCAATTTAAAATTATTTTAATTGTCAAAAATGAATAACTGCTGTTTTTCAACGAGATTGTTTATTGTCATTTCAGCCATACCTCAAAGAAATCTTAAAAGAGATCTGCAACTACAATGCGAAAAATCCCCACAAGAGCATGTGGGAGCTGAAACCAGAGTACAGACACTACAAGGACTCAGGAGAGGGAGACTGACCCCCTGAAAATTATTTTCTTCATTGACGACGTATATTCATTATAAAAATAATCTTGACTTCTTTATGTTTGTTTGTATGTCGAATTAAAATCTAAGCAAAATTGCAGTAACTGTAAAGTTTTTGTAATAAACTGATTCATTTTATTTTAAATTGGATTTTTTTTAAACCCTATTATTGCTATTTCAGTGTTTTTTTTATTATAAAATTTATATATATTACTGTTTTTATTACTTTTTTATTATAAAATTTATATAAGTTTCTATAAAGCCCTGTGGCAAAATCGCAGCGACATGACGACATTGTCGGAGAACGTTACAGAGTTCTTGCTGAAAGAATTTTTTTTTTTACGCAGAAATTTGCTCGCGATATTTGAATCATGCATTCAGAAAATTACTTTTGACGAGTTCAATTTAAGGCTAATAATATCGCAAATCGATTTAATGTTTCGATTGTATTTTCGGCTGTTATTGATATTGATTTTCACGTGANTGAAAAAACGTTTTAAACCATAAAAAGCTTTATTTGAACAAATTAGACGACTCCGAATCTCATTGTCTATGTTATTGTCGGCAGTAACTATTGAACCAAGGTAAGTAAAATTCTGAACAGTCTGAAACCTGTGGGAACCAATCTCCAGATAGGATTCAGTAAAATTTAATTTAGCAAGTACAGGCATGTATTTGGTCTTATCGGTATTGATGATTAGTCCCATATCCCTAGCAGCAAGCTCCAAACAATTCTATCTAAGTAACAATTCTATCGAATTTTTGGCAGTTATTGCTACTGATTTCTCCATAGTTTTTAAATCCAATATTTTTTATAAGATGATATTTATTACAACAGTCTAATCTCGAAACAAAACGCGCATTTGAGGAGTCCGATTCGAGAGATTTCGTCGTCGATCTTTTTTCCGGCAACTGATTTCAAGATTTTTTTTTTATCGTGATAATTATTTACAAAATGCGAGAAATAAACTATTTGGGCGTTCCCCTCCCCTCCCAACAAAATGGCAGAATTTCACCCATTATGTTAGAACAAAAAATTATTACGTGTTAAATTTTAAAAAATTCTATAGTTTTTTTTTTTGTAAGCAGCGCTTTTGTTATTTTAAATTAGTAACATATATGTTTGTTATTTTTAAAAGTATCTTGCAGAAAGATATTAGTGCTAAAGAGTTCTGTCGCAGGTAGCTCGAAAAAATTCTGCCACAGGTACACTCTCTAAAAAGGTGCCATTTGCTATAAAACTAATGTTCTGAAAGTTTAAATTCAAAAGAATAATATTTAGACCCTGATTCCGAGTGCCAAAGTCAGAAAAAATCGAGATTTTACTCCCAAAAAAAATGGCATGTCTTCCGCTATACTATCCGAACGAATAGTTGTAGAAACAGAAACATGGGCTTATTTTATAAATAATGCTTTGCCAATTCAACACATCAAAAGATATAATAAGTTTTTCCTCCAAATGAAAAAGGAAACTTGCATACAATTGGTAACTAACGTGAAATGTTTTAAATAAAAAGATGTAAATATTTATTTATTAAAATTAAGCTAGGTATAAATTATCAAATAGAAAGCATGAAAAAAAAACCTTATTTCAGATACAGTCGGACTTCTATTTAACGAACTTTTTGCAAATTTCTCTATTCTGGGTTTTTATTTATTTATTATTATTTTTTGAGGAACCAAGGACATTTTGGAAATTTCTTCGTAAAATAACTTCCAAATAGCGAGGTGAATTTTCTATTTAACGAACTTCTCTTTGAGATTCACTTACCCTATTTCCCACAATATTTCAGAACATTTCAAACTTGTTAAGGCATTTTATGGGGGAAATGACCTTAAATTGATTTTCGAAGCCACTGAACTTATAGAGAAAGCAGTTAAAATTCCTTTCCCTTTTTGTTTGCATTTCAAACGAAAAACTCAGACAAAATTAACATATTTTATCAGAAGCAATTAAACTTCAGAATGCATGTGGTAATGTATGTTTAAAGTTACTTTTATACTTGTAGCTATAATTTTATACATAAATGTAGCTTTTTTTAGTTGAAAATGTATGTTAGCATGATAGTGTAACTGTGGATAATGTTTTGCTCTATTCTTATTTTCCATACAGATTTCTTTTATGGTTAAGATTTATAGAATAAATAGTAGACACTACTTTACAAGATTAAGGCGCATCAATTTATATTTTAATTATGTCTAGTGTTTATGAATTTAAAACCTGTTTTGTGTTTAAGTATTTCAAAAGGTGATATTCTACTTAACGAATTTTCCATATAACGAACTTATTATCGGGATAGCTACTTCGTTAAATAGAAATCCTACTGTATTTCACTCATTGATACAAAACATAGAGCCTAAACTGTATTAAAAATAGCGAATTCAATAATCAGAGTATATTTAATATTTTTAAAATAAATAAAAAATGCATAATCAGAGAGTTATAAAACTAAATTCTTTATACATTTCTGCATGTGAGTGTAGTTTTGAAGGCATTTACATTAAGCTTAAAAAAAGGCAACTGCAGTCAGACCTCTATTTAACGAAGTGTCTAAATCCGGATAATAAGTTCGTTATATGGAAAATTCATTATATAGAAAATCACCTTTTGAAATACTTGAATGACACAAAATAGGCTTTAAATTCATAAACACCTAGCATAATTAAAATAGCAATTGATACACATTTATCTTGTAAAAGTATCCACTATTTATTTTATGAATCTTAACCCTAAAAGAAATTTGCGTGAAAAGCAAGAATAGAGCAAAACATTATCCAGTGTTACACTATCATGCTACATGCATTTTCAACTAAAAAAAGCTACATTTGTGCATAAAATTATAACTGCATTTATTATAAAAGTAATTGTAAACGTACATTACCACATGCGTTTTAAGTTTAATTGCTACTGATAAAAATCGGTTCATTTTGTCTGAGTTTTTCGTTTGAAATGCAAACAAAAAGGGAAGAGGATTTTACTGCTTCCTCTAACAGTTAAGCGGCTTCGAAAATCAATTTAAGGTCATTTCCCCCATAAAATGCGTTAACAAGTTTGAAATATTTTTGGAAATAGGGTAAGTGGATCTCAAAGAAAAGTTCGTTAAATAGAAAATTTACTTCTCTATTTGGAAGTTAATTTACGAAGAAATTTCCAAAATGTTCTTGGTTCCTCGAAAAAATTCGCAAAATGGAAGTTCGTTAAACAGAAGTCCGACTGTAATTAAAAATTTATGTATCACAAATGGTTTACCTACCAAACTCACATTTTGTAGTGAGGAAAAAAGTGATAACACACTTTTTTTTTTAATTAAGTGGCTATTTAAATCACTTTGCAAACAATTTAAATAAATACAACACTAAAATGATTTCAGGAGCAAATCTATATTTAGTACTCTTTGGTGGATATAATGTCTTACTTTTCCAAAATTTAGCTAACAATCAAAGAAAAGAGTTACCAGTTTTTTTTTCCGGTTGAAGAAGCAAATTTCTTAAAAATGGAACCCTGGCGTTTAAAAACTTATTACAGAACTGAAAAAGAAATCGAACACCTCTAAAGATGCCTATCTCAGGAAACTAATTTCCCAGGAACGAAATTTTTAATCGGAACATTAAAATAATATTCTCCATGTAATAAAGCCTTCATACTACAAATTTTTCAGATGTTTAAGTTATTTATTTATTTTTGGAGAAAGATTAATATTTATGTAAAAACAATTCTCTCTCCTGAATCTCACAGGTTATTCGTTCCAGAGAAAAAGCAATAGAATTTTATTTGAATAGTGAACACTCTGTCATATTTTTCACTTCGTTTTTAATTTAAATTCGAAAACGTACCTATTATTACCTTCAGGGGTGGATCCAGAACTTTTATTATATGAATATATTGGGAATTTCTTAACCAGAACCGCTCTAATTTATTTTGGAGAGATTTCACTGTAGTTTGCAACATGAATTTAATAGAATGAATATCAAGATGACAGCAAACACGCAGGAAGAAAATATCCTGTTATTTCCAAACTAATTTTATTGAATTCCTTGATTTTTGTAATCGATGGCATACATTTTATTTTTAAATTTTCGGTTATGCCTTATTTTTATGCATAATATACTTGCCAAAAATGACAGTTAAAGTTACAAAAAAAATATTACATGATTATTTTTCATGAAAAAAAAAGTTTGACTCTTATTCACCTCAAATTATTTCATTTTCTCTTACTTATATTGGATATTTTAATTAAAATCACTGACGTTTTCCAATTTGATAAAATTTTTGTTCTGTGGTCACAGTTTCCTAGGCCTAAATTTTTTAAGCTTGCATTAAATTACTGATATCTCTTTTATAAACTTGATACGACAACAATGACATTCTTATTTAAATAGGCATTTACTGAATAAATAAGAAGTTACAAGAGAAAAACATTATTTGCACTGTCATTGACGTAGCATAGTTTTATGATGATCAATTTCCGTGATTTGGCGAAAAGAATTTTCGTCATGCGGTTGATTATGCGTTTATAAATAAATACAATACTTATGTTCAATATTTTAGAGATATGATAAAAGCCATCCAGTTATTTGTCAATCATATGAAGTTTTGTAACATTTATTATTATTCTTTTATTACTTATCCAACTGTAAGTCTCGAAACTTTTTTAACCCTGAATTTGCATGATTTGATTCATCATGGGCACATAGATTCCGAGGCCCCTTTTTTCACTAGGGCAGCCGGAAAATTTCCCTGGGTGGAGTTTTATAATGGACAGTTTTAATTTTCAATTCAACTGAATTAAAGTAACACAATTTTAAAGTATAAACTACTTTTAAGTATATTCTTTACATAAAATCCATAAATGAGTAGAGAAAAGACTGACAATATTTGCCAATTAACTAAAAAGGTTTTCTAAGCATCTTTTTAAACAAAACTAGCATTTTTTTTTTTTAAATTAAAATTTTTCTTCAATTTGAATTATACATAACTATAGTTATTACATTATAAAAATAGTTATTATATTATAAAAAAAATTAAACAATTACGTTATAACGTAATTATTTCAATTTTTTTTTATCCTGATAATTTTCTAATTTTTCGATTTCCGTGCGTGGACGAAGATTTTGCGCAATTCCGCGTATTTGTGGTGTCTTCGA